ATATATATATATATATATTAATTACTACTAGTAGTAGTTAGGTTGAGACTAGAGCATGCTTAACTGAACGACTCTTTTTCTTTTCTCATTTGGTGCAAATGTGAAGACTCTTTGGAAAGAGATAGAAAGAGATAGGTAGACTGGCATTATGGCCTTTTCATATGAATCCCCCCACATGGGCCATATGAGCATTTCACCAGCTAGCATGCAGCTGCAGCATGGCTTCCTCTAGCTTATATAGGTGGTCCTCTCTCTATATCATACACTCTCCGCCTCAACCAGCCCCTCTTTCCCGGCAAAGGCCAATGCATTCTCCAATATTTGCCCGATTTCTCCTCCCATCCTTAGCCCCCATTCCTTTCCTTTATTTTTCCTTTCACCTCAGATACTACCGTCGATCGAACAAGTTCTCAGGAGTGAAATCTTCTCTTTCATTTCGTATTTAGTAAAAGAAAAAAGAAGCTACTTGGTCCCCCAATCTAGTTATTGAATAGATTATCCCATTCTCTGCGCATTGTCAGTCCACCAATATAATTGCATTCACTATTTTCCCACCTTCTTTTACTTTTTTTCCTTCCAGGGTTCTGAAGTTGTTTATTACTACAAATATTATTAGCTAGAAGTATTATTTTTAGCTATTGAAATTAGGCTTCAGCATTTAGAAGCTAAAAGGAGCTTATGAGAGTGATAATATAATACAGCTAGAAAGAAGCAAATAAAGAAGAATACTAGCTAGATGAAGAGGCAAACCCTAAAATTTGGTGTTCTTTATCTTCTTTATTTCGAGTTTGTCTCTTCCTCGACATAATCGTGATTTTTGTCTGAGAAATTTGACGGGTGTTAGTTCCCTAGCTAGCAGCCGATAATTAAAAGGAGCAGAATTACTTCCAAGTTAAGTGTAAAACCTTGAGGATTTATACGGCCCTTTTTGCAGTGACAGCAAGTATATAAATAATCTAAAACATTTTTGATCGGTGCTAGAATAATATTGCTAAGAGGAACACAACATATTTTTTCTCAAGTGGTGCGCGCCTTTAATATGGAGTATATACTAGGACCAATGGACTTTTGCTAATTTTTATTTTACCCCAACCTTATTTGCAAATTAAAGTAGTATGTAGTAATAAAACTTCAACTGTAGCGAATAACTAGAGCAATAATACTATGGTATTGTAATAACACATCCCAACAGCAGCTACTCTCTAATGCCTACTTACCCTAATTATACGCCGCCCCCATCTTACACAAAAAGAAAAGAAAACAAATCAAAAGAAAATGAGTACTTATATATATAAGAGAAAGGCTAGTTGCATAAATTAGGAAGAGATTATAAACCCGTGCTTTAAGAAACAGCTGGCTGGCCCTCTTGTCTCGTGGGCCTTAGGAAGAAATGAAAATAACTACTCCACTAGTAGTGTCAACTGTTAGGTAGTGAAGATCCATATAAATCATGAGAATTAATATGAAATTTTATTTTAATTTTGATACTACCATCAGGGCGTATCCAGTGTAACTTTCGATCATAAACTATATTTTTGGCCAAAAAGACATTGTATGTCTAGAAATAATAAGTTCTAAAAAAGAAGTAGCTCAATTCACAAAGCAATCTATATTCACGCACGGTCTAGGGAAGGATCGTATCCAAGAGGTGTGATGCAGACAGCCTAATCTAATGCAAGAATTATTGGATGTTTCCACGGCTTGAACTAATGAACTATAAGTCACACAGAAACAACTTTACAATTCCAAGGCTCCCCTTAAAATAATAAATTTTGGATTCACTCAGTTAAATGAATGTGATAGAATTACGAATTTGAACTCATAAAATTCAAATGTTGGATCCGCCTTTGACTACCACCATGATGACGAGGAGGAGCTCGCAGGAACCAATCAGATAATTTGTGGGTTCGTCTCTCTCTGTCGTTCAGTGTGAAAGAACTAGGAAAGAAAGAATAATTGTAATGAAAATTGCCTAACTTGATAAGATTCCAGGAAGCAGCCGCTAAGAATTAAAATCACCACATATAATCCTAGCTACTATCTAAAATTATTATCTTCCTTCGTTCTTTCTCTCTCTAATGAGTAATAATAATCTCTTTCATCTACGAGTCTTTCTTGGCTATGAAAAAAGCACCGACCTTCTCTTTCTATGTTGTAATTAGGGCTGATGGAGAGCTAGACTTACTTGGATATCCCTCTTAATTTCTTTCTTTCTTCTTTTGTTTCACTGTATATTTCTCAAACTGTACCTTATCATCAACTTTCCTGCTAAAGAGATAGAGCTCTTTCAATTTTAACCCTAGAACCAAATAACCACTCATCCTCTCTTATCACTCCGGGAGTCAGAAAGAATAGTACATATATATATCAGTAGTCATTATTAGAACCTCTTCTGTTTTCTTTATCATTTCGTTTACTAGCTAGTTTCCCATTTTCAACTTCACATCTTCTCTAGATCTATACCTTGGACAAGCTCTATAGTACTGGATGGTGTGTTCCGCAGATCATGAATTTCTTTACTAGTAGACGGGGGATCCAACAACAAACTGGCTCTTCAAAAGGTATGTGCCCTTTTTCTCAGTCTTCCTCCTCATCTTCAACATCCTCTTCTTATCACAACCAGCAGCAGCAACAACAGCATCGAGAAAGTACGGAGCTTATGTTGATGGATTCTTCCCCTACGGCTACCAGAAATCATGGCGACGGCGATGAGGTTGCTGGAGGAGAAGCTCATCACCTGATTGAAAGGGAACATATGTTCGATAAGGTAGTAACTCCGAGTGATGTGGGAAAGCTCAATCGTTTAGTCATTCCAAAACAGCATGCCGAGAAGTATTTTCCACTGGATTCCTCCAGCAACGACAAGGGAGGACTTCTCTTGAATTTCGAAGACAGAAATGGGAAGCCATGGAGATTTAGGTATTCCTACTGGAATAGCAGCCAAAGCTATGTCATGACTAAAGGTTGGAGCCGCTTTGTCAAGGAGAAGAAGCTCGATGCTGGGGATATTGTCTCATTTCAGCGAGGAGCTGGTGAATTGGTCAAGCATCGTCTCTTCATCGACTGGCGCCGCCGTCCTGATGCCCCGGACATGAATCCTTTTATGGTGCCGCACCACTTCTCTAATTGGAATCATGGGCGCCTCTTCTTACAACCGTTCCAAAGGGGTCCGCTGGTACCATCGTTTACACAACAACATCCACATTCACAATATTCCCATAATTCGCTGCTGGAATCAAGCAGCAATATGGCTCAACAACAACAGTCTCATCATTATCCGCATAGCTACATCTATGGAATTGGTAATACTAGTCCAGCTTACTACAACACTTGTTTCAACAATAGTAGCATTAGCACTAATGCCACAGTGGTAAATGCAAACCCTTGTGCGGGCGGGTCAGGAAATTATGTCAGATCGGCAGCCACTGCTTCCCAGTTAGTACTCCCAATATCACAACATGAGCTTGAAATAATGCAAATGCAAAGAGGTTGTAGTAGTGTTGGTAGGAGTAGTGGGGGTGAGCCAATGGTGTTCAACTCGGTGCCGGTGGTTCAAGGTAAGGTGGCAGCAAAGCGACTCAGGCTATTCGGAGTGAATATGGACTGCCCCATGGATCATTCTGACATGTTTTCATCCTCGACTATCCCAACAACTTATTCTCATGCTCCCTATTTTTCTTCTTCATTATCAACGTCTTCAACCCCTTTGCTCCAATTAAGGAATTTTAACAGCCAACTCCAAGCAGTACCCTCTGATGAAGAATCGTCTGACAAAGGCAAAGCGTCCATGTCCTTGGATTTGGATATTTGATCCATCAGCATTTCAAGCTACCATACCAAAGCCCATTCAAATTACAAGAAAGATACATTAAAAGACATTGAGAATTGAAGAGAATCGGCTAGGTGTTCCTGATCGGTGCATCACCCGTTGTCATAATATTGGCAAAGGAGGACGAGAAAGGCACATTAGACGTTCCTTCATTTTGACACAGTGTCATACCAAAGCTCATTCAATGTTAAATGGAAGTCTTGAGATAGAAAGATTACTAAGTTCAGGTTCAATTTGTGTATATTTAATTTAATACTCTAGTTAATCGAGACGATGAAATACTTTGCTAGATCCTCAGAATGCTGGTTATTTTATGTTTGATTTTCCAAGCGCAGGGCAGAGTTCGATCCCCAAACTGTGGTCATGCCACAGTTTTCGTTGAGTTACTTGATCGATCAATGAAGGAGGAAAAAGAAAAGGAGGCTTGTTTTATGTATATGTGCGTTTTTTTTTTCACTTGACCAACTTCTTCTGTTTCATTTTCTATCTTTTAACTAGTCTCCGTTGGTTGAAACTTGACATCTAACGTCGTCTTTCGTGACTTGTTTTCTCTAGTATTAGTAAGTAAGGTGCAGCATCAGCCTCATTTCAGGCTGACGAACGATGATGGTGATGGAAAGAATTGAACAAAGTTGAGGTTTCTTCCTTACGAAATATGAATAATTTTGGTTCTATTGCCTTTGGAAGTTATGTTCTTGTCGCTGCTTCGTTGTTCGTGTGTAACTGCGCTCAATGTCATTGTTCCCTACTTTCGGTAGCTTCTTCCTGTCAGCAGTCAGCAGCTACCCTTTCTCTTCTCAAGTTGCTGTCTGACTTTCGATGATCCATTACTCTGCCAAAAAGCATATATACCTCAGCACTTTATTAGAGGGAGATAAAAAGAGTTTCCATGCATTTATATGACTGAAAATGATGCTAAGTCTAAATAGAAAGTAAGCATCCAGTTCATATTTTATAACTCTTGTAATGATTATAAATAATACATAGAAGTGATGTCTACATTCTGTAATGTCTACATTCTGTGACACTAACAGGAGTATGACTTATTTTGTCAAAGAGTATTGAAGCACACCCATCTCAGTCATATTCAACTGAGGATCCTAAGGAAAATGAATAGGTTAGAGTAGATACGACTTTGTGTCCTTATCTAACTATGGACTCTTATCCCTTAGCTTGAACCCCAATTGTGTGTGTATATATATACACACACATTCAGCTGTGTACAATTAATATGTGGTTTACATGGTATTGGAGCCATATCGGATTTTTCCTCCGCCTTCATTTCTGCAGTCACAATTCAATCCTCCCCTTCTTCCTCGCCCACAACACTCAATCATGCTCACTACATCTTTTTTTAATCAATCCACCCAGGCTTCCACCTTCTCTGATGGTGGAGGATTTGACATTGATCCATACCTACTAAGGAGGACATAAAACCAATACCTCCCGTAAGAGAGACATTGTCAAAATGCTACCGTTTTCTTAGTCTCATGCCAAAGATACTGTTGCGGAAGATCGTGGGTTAATTAGCACACAATCACACACAAAGCAAATAGCGAAGAAAAATCAACACAAGGATTTAACGAGGTTTGGCTAAGTCTAATCCTCGGGGCAAAAGCAGAGAGAGTTTTCCACTATGAATGAGAAGAAAAGCACAGTACAATCTCTAGAATCCCTAACTACAACCCCTATATATAGATCCCAAATAGTCACAAACCTATAAGAGAAAGGTTTTCCAATTTGACAAGGACTAGTGGTTTTCCTTTCCCAAATCTATTAGGACAGTGGCTTTTCCTAAACCTATAGGGATTATGAGTTTCCTAAAAATACAAGGAAATAATTTATGCCACAAAATAACAAATCTTTCCCTTGTCTTGAATTCTCTTCATTAACAGGAACGTCTCTCTACCTTGCCCTCAGCCCTCACGAGGACTCTACCGATTTCTACACACATCAATCATGTCTAGGCAATGCCTAAACTTGTTAAGAGACTCAATCTCTTCAGCCATAGCACTAATCCGCGATTTAGTTCTGTACCCGAAATAGCTTCTGGATCGCTATAACACTCAAACGCATCAACAGTCTCTGCAACTGCCAAAGAAAATCCCACAAGATTCGTATATCCAAGAAGATTCCCATCAACTACGTCTGCAAACCTTTGTGGTCGGTTGATCACTCTCTTCTCTCTGCCTGTTGCAATGCTATATGGTTGTTGTTCCTCTACTTTAGAACTACTGGACTGAGCTAGTGGAGATTCAATTTCTAGCTCTATGCGGTCACTGACACCACGATATGTTTCTACTATTGCCTTCTCCCTCTAACTGTCCAGTGAGCCAGATTCATTGAATGTTACATCCCTATTGATAATTAGCCCTGGAGTCTTTTGATCTGTGCACCACAACTTATAATCTTTCACTCCGGTATGCATACCTTAGAAATATGCACTTCTTTGCCCTCGGCTCAAGTTTTCTCTCCCTCACATGAGCATAAGCAGGACAACCAAATATCCTTAAATTTGAATAATCAATAGGTGAATCGGACCATACCTCAAAGAGAGTTTGAACTCAATAGCTGTGGATGGAGATCTATTAACCAAATAACAAGTTGTATTGATTGCTTCAGCCCAAAAATCCTTGCTAACACATGAGTATGAAAGCATGCTTTGTGCTCTATCACAAAGAGTTCTATTCATATGTTCTGCAACACCATTTTGTTGTGGTGTTCTGACATAAGTGTAGTGTCTCACTATGCCCTCTCTACTGCAGAAAGTATCGAACTAAAAATTGCAAAATTCCAACCCATTGCCAGTTCGAAGACGCTTAACTTTTCTTATAGTGTGTCTCTCAACCATCGTCTTCCATTTAACAAATGTCGGAAATGCCTCATCTTTTGTTTTTAGAAAATACACCCATACCATCCTTGAGTAATCATCAATCAAAGTCAGAAAGCACCACTCTTGGACGGAACTCTGTTTGGACCCCCACAAGTCTGAATGTATACAGTCTAACTTGTCTCTGGTCTTGTGCTCGGCCTTCTTGCTGAACTTTACCCTTGTCTGTTTAACAAATACACAATGCTCACAAAAATTCATAACTTGATTTTTGTACCCATTCAGCAAATTCCGCTTACTCAACAAAGACAATCCCTTATCATTCATATGACCAAGCTGCAAGTGCCACAACTGAGACTGATTTAGATTACTTTTCCCAAAAGCTACAGCAGCTTCCCCTTCAACTACACTGGCCTGAAGATGATACAATTTAGAATACATTTTACCCTTCATGAGTACCATGTAGACTTTACACACTTTAAATATTCCATTCTCGGAGTAAAACCTATACCCTTGATCATCCGATGTCGAAATAGAGATCAAGTTTCTCTTTATTTGGGGAACATACCGACACTCAATGTTTCTGATAATTACATCGAACATTCTAAATCTGATGTTACCAATACCCTTTACTGGTAATGGATTGTCATCTCCCATGTAGACAGTCCCACTGATCTGCTTGTAAGTTGTAAATCAATTCTTGTATGGACATATGTGGAAAGTAGCACCAGAATCAAGAACCCAGGAATTCTGCCCATGACTAGAACTCACAGCACAAGCTTCCCCTACATAATCACTATCATCAGAAGTATTGCTAGTGTCAACAACATTTGCCGAATTATCTATCTTCTGCTTTCCTCTTTTCTCTTTCAGCTCAGGACAATCTCTCTTGTAGTGACCTTGCTCCCCGCACTTACAACAGTTCTTCTTTCTTGCTCTAGACTTCGATTTGGCGGTTGACTTTTTCTTGTTAAAGTCCTTCTGTTGTGTTCTTCCTCTACTCACAAGACCCTCAACCTCAGTTCCGCTGTTTGGAAAGCTCTTTTTCAACTCTTTAGATTTTTGTGCATTACTAATATCTTTCAGTGAAACACTGTCTTTCCCATATAGCAGGGTATCGGTAAAAGTATCATAAGACGGTGGTAAAGAACATAACACAATCAAGGTCTAATCCTCACTCTCAATTTTGATATCCACGTTCTTCACGCCCATTATAATTGAATTAAACTCATCAAGGTGGGTTTTAACAGGTGTACCTTCGTTCATACGGAGATTTTATAACCTCTTTTTCAAGTAGAGGCGGTTTGTTAGCAATTTCTTAGAATACAGATCTTCCAGCTTCTTCCATTCCATTGCAGTAGAAGTTTCTTCAGCAATTTCCCCAAGAACATTATCTGTAACTCTCATGAAGATCGCACTCAAAGCCCTCTACTTCAGGTCTGCCTTCTCTGTCACCTTCATCTTTGAGGAAAATTCTCATCAATTTCCTCAAAAACGTTATCTGTAACTCTCATGAAGATTGCACTCAAAGCCCTCTACTTCAAGTCTTCCTTCTCTGTCTCTTTCATCTCTTCACGAAAATTCTCATCAATTGCCTTCCATAACCCTTGTAACACCAGAGAGGATTTCATCATGATCTTCTACATACTGAAACTAGAACCCTTGTCAAATTTCTCTACTTCATACTTTGTTGAAGATGACGAAGACATCTTAACACTAGATTATATGTAGAAACCCGATCCTTACCCCGATACCAGTTGTCCCGGACGATCGTGGGTTAACTAGCACACAATCATACATACAGCATATAGAGAAGAAAAATCAACACAAGGATTTAACGAGGTTCGGCTAAGCCTAATCCTCGGGGCAAAAGCAGAGAGAGTTTTCCTCTATGAATGAGAAGAAAAGCACAGTACAATCTATGGAATCCCCAACTACAACATCTATATATAGATCCCAAATAGTCCTAAACTTATAAGAGAAAGGTTTCCCAATTTGACAAGGACTATATTTTTTTCTTTCCTAAATCTATTAGGACAATGGGTTTTTCTAAACCTATAGGGATTATGGGTTTTCTAAATATACAAGGAAATAATTTAAGCCACAAAATAACAGATACAATGTGCAAGCACGTGATTCAAAAGAAGTGAAGGGCTAGGATAGGACTAGTTAGAACAACAATAGCACTTCAATTAGGGGATAACGGAGGTTCAATAAATAAACCTGAATTCTTTCTTGCCCTTATTCTAAAGGCTGGGATTTGCATCCTATTCATTGTAACAGCTCCTCTCACTTTATTAGGAAGGTCACTCTCCGTCAAGAAGCTCTCTTTTCTGTGAGGGTAGTTGCATGTTTTGATAATAAATCTGCAACTCCATTCCCTTGAAGTGCTTACAAATTTCATGGGATCTTGTAAGTTTCGAGGATCATATTGACTGCTAAGAGTGAGTCTAGTTCCAGTTGAGATTGATTGTTCCTATCAAAGCATCAAAGGATCCCTTGTAAGGCAACTTGGACTTTAGAGAAATTTTTATTTTATTTTTTTAATGTTGCCCAAACAATCGTCTAGGTTGTATTGTATTCCAAAAAAGCACAAGAGGGGGGCTATACCTTACCTCAGAAAATA